CGATCCAATCGAACCAAATCTTGATTCATCAATTTGATGGTCGCCATTGTAGTTTCGTTCTCCATCACAAAATTCATTTGAGATTGTTGGAAATAATGTTGCTCCACCAAAGATATTATGAGAACGAATTACAAACAAAATAAAAAATCGAAAGAATTATAGGAGATGAAGGAATGACAAATATATATGAAGAAATTGAAGGCTCAAACACAATCTTTGATTGTTGTCCTCAAACGAAATTTGCCCCCACTATTTTGGTGTTTAAAAGGTGATCCTGCAAAAGGTTTGAAGGATTAATCAAGCCTCATAGAGATTCAAACACTAAACACTTGTTTGAATCTCTAAAACTTAAGAACACAAAGAAAAAGATGAATATGGGAGGGTATTTTATTTTTGGATTTGATCTCAAGAAGTAACAATATAATAGGTATTTTTTCAACATTTTTCAATGACCCAAGATCACCTATTTATAGCCAAGTAGTATAGCTTTACGAAGTGGTGGGCCATCTGATCTCACTTTAGATGGCAGGAAAGCCCTTCAGATCTCAAAGAGGCTTACTCGGGCTGTGGATTATCACAGAAGTACAGAGGAAGGGACAGCTACTCCAAAGGATCGACTTTGCATAGAGATTTTGGAACAAGAAGAAAGAAGAGATCCATTACTAGGAGAAGCTTCAGTATCGCTTGCTATTGCAGGCGATGATTTGCGCTCGGAGTTATTGTACCTTGAAAATAGAGGTAAATTACCCCAGGGATTTAATTTTTTGTACGGTTTGATACCTGTCATTATTTTCTGCTTATCTTTTTGACCTATTTCATTACTTTTATCTGAATGGCAACCTCCACAACAACCCTTGATCTCCTTGTAGCACTGTTGAAAAAGATGGGATTCTTAGTGTACCATGTATTTCCATCCAAAAAAATATTTATTTGTAGTGTTCGATCCTTGAATTTGTACAATTTTTTTTTTATTTTTTATTTTTGCCAAAGGTCATCCAGAGAAAGGACTTGTATTGATACATTAACCACAGTCTATTTCTAAACAACTTCATTTTCTTACTCTCCTGATGGTTGCAATAAAGTAAATTCATTGTATCATAATTATCAATTCTCACACATTGATTAATCATTTCTCATCTTCCTCCAAAAAGCTTTGATAATATTTTTGTTATAGTGATCTGCATGCAAAATACCTGGTGCTTGCGCCTGAGATTTTTCTAGACTCGAGGTCAATTTGTGAAACTTATCCTTTTTCAATTGAATCTGTACATATCTGTTTATTAATTATTTTCCTTATAAGAATAATCTTCTTATTTGTTCAGCTGCTAACTACAGTGGCAGGTCTTATTTTGTTTGATTAATTGGGTGATTGCTTTTCAGTTGCTTTGGCCAAACTTCTATTTCGCATGGAAGCAAAAGTTGCCATGGATATTGCTCAAGTTGACGGGACCTCCAAGGTTCAGCTAGCTGGAAACACCAAGAACATGGCTGGCACCCAGAGGTCTACTGTGGACTTGAATGAGGCACCTTTCAAAATCAAAGAGGAGCATCTGATTAGGATGAGGGCCCTCGCCAAAACTGGTATTTATATCTTGCGTGTTCATTTAGCTTGTACAAATTTTCTTTCTTGACTCTTACTGACACATTCTACAACTAAATTTTGAGAAAGATGCTGAAGTTTTTGGTACCCTTTTGCCCTGTATGTTTGGATAGTCTGAACTGACTATTTGAATTAAAAAACGATGAATGTGATAAGAAACTTCTTACAGAAACGAAGAATTCTATTAATCTGCAGAATGCAAGATTACAAGAATTGAAACCAGACTACTTTACTTCTGAAATTGCCTGCCTATCTCCTACCTTTTGCCCCCTATTTATAACCTGTTTCTAACAAACTTATTCCCCTCCCCACATGCTCCTAAACAGAATTTAGTTAAACCTTCTTTCCAGGTGATTCTCCTCCCTTCTTGAGTCTTCTAGAATAGGTGAAGTGGACGGAAGGCCTAACAGAATGTTTTAATTTTGAGAGCAACTGAGTATGAACTCACTGAATTACACTAGTGAGATTAATCATCCAAAACAAATAAAATAGGAAAACTGTTCCCTTGCATATGCATGCGAACATATAACTGAATGTGAATGTGCAGAAGTCTTGTATAATCACTATAGAATGTTTTTAAATAAACTAATTTATTCATGGTAAATTTATTTCACTGGTCGTAATATAGCAAAAATCTGAGGGAAGCTTAAGGGTATGCCTGGCAAGGTGTTTATAAACGGGAGAAAATGAGTGGTGGGGAGTGGATAGTATTTGAGGTCCTACCTAATGTGTGGACAGCATTGGTATCATTACCAAACAAGATCAGGATGTTATTATTCAAACTTATTTCCTAAATCCACTGGCTTTTCCTGTCACTAGAGATTTTGCGAAGATGTGAATCAGTTAAAAAAAGCCACATCGTACCAAAATTGGCCTGGAATGTAATGCATTCTCCCTGAATACAGACACCTCTAATAGTAGAATGACATTTGTCTCAGGTGATGATTGTTCAACAGAGGATAATAATTGATGGAGTTGATTCTTCATATGAAATAAATGGAACATAACATTACAGCTTTAACCATCAAGAACTGCTGTCTTCCTCTAGGAATGTACATCATTTCCTGATTTTGACATTGGATTTACTCGAATAATGAATTATGTAGTTTTTACATATACACAACTAAAGGCTGCTTTATTTCTCATCAGAAATTGTCAATTCTATATTACTGAAATGGTTGCACTTATTTTATATGAACATGTATCAGAATCTAATTTCAGTTCTTCATAAACTAATTTTTTCTTTTGGAAACAGTGGAGCTTGGGAAGCGATTTTTCCCTCGTTGTTCAGCAGTACTGAACAAGATCATGGATGGTGATGACTATTCCAAGATCACTCAACTAGAGAATAATGCTCTCGAAGAGTGTCCATTAAAGAAGAGAAGGCGCATGGAACTCGAAGAAGTTTTGTGCAAGGCATTTACTGAGGATAAAGAAGAATTCGACCATACGATTAACATGTCATCATCTTCATCATCATCTGTGGGAATGATGAAACCCAATGGCAAGTTAACACTCACCAAGTAAACATCTGGTGTGTCCGGTGTTGGGGAGAGGGTTTCAGCTTTTTTTTTGCTGCATATACTGTTTTCTACCTTTTTTATTTGCTCAGCAATGTTCCAGCTTTCTTTCATATTTCCATTAATTTACAGGGAAATGAAGACTGGATTGTTTTAGTTATTTTGGATTCCACTGAATGTTCAGAAACTATGAGCTATAAAAGATGTAAGTACGCATTTTTTTCCCCAATAATTTCCGGGAGCTGGAAGAAAGTGTATTCTTCTGCATCGTTCCATTTCTAACCTTTTCGAATAATTAATAATTTGAATAGCAGGTCGAATTAATTATAGAAACGTGAATTTGATCAGCTGATTGATTATAGACAGGATAAACAAGTCAATATTTTCATACTTGCATTTAGAAAATGAATCTTGATTTGTGCCATAGATAGACATAAAGCTTGTGGCTATATTTGCTTCTTTGGGCAACACATTTGATGAGTCTATCCCTTCAATCAAATCTTACACCTACTGATATGGTCCCATTACCAAATTTGGATGGCTAATTGTGGCTAAATAGACAGGTGTCTGAGTTGTAGCCATTTATGCTTGAACTTTCTAGTGCTTGTCTTAACTACTTTTTAGAATCAGGCACTAATTCTATTCAAGATAAAGGTCGTGGTTTGTCAATTATTTGGGAACCAGACACCAGTCCTGCCCCCCACTTTCGAGTATGCCCTTTTACCCGTTTACTCAGCAACCATTTACTAGTGATGATATATTTAGCGTGTAGGACGAGACTCCAGGAGATAAGATCGAAGATTATTCATTAGTTTCGATTCGAGTGCTTGCCAATCTTTTCTAGACATCACATTTCCAATTTAGAATACCGTAGGGCACTCTGTGTACCTCGACGGTGAAAAAAGAGATTCATCATTTCAATTATGTAATAGATTACTTAGCATTATTTCAATTTCGTAATTGATTGCTTGGTACTTGTAGTATGAAACAATCATGGATGACAACTTAGTTGACAATTAATGTTAGGCAAAAAACTATTGGCTGCAAAAATAACTTTATATTAGAACTATCCAATGATTGTATACAAAGCATGATTGCTTAGTTTCATTGTTACTAATACTAACAATGTACTTGTTCTAGGGGAATTGACATTAATCAAAACTCGTCAATCATAAATTTTACACCACCGTCGTCGTCATATGATATTAGGATGAAAATACATCCCTTTGTAACAAAAATTGGCAAATATGATCCACCACACAAAATGTCTGAAATAAATGCAATCAAAGCATAAACTACTTCATCTAAAAGTTTTAAGCAGTTGACAGACTGGAACAAGCCTAAAGCTAGAAGTTCATAAATTACTCCATATCTAAAAGTTTAAGCAATTAAGGGTGTATACAAAACACTCCATAACTACCAGATATACATTCTTGTTTGGCAACATAAATCATATACATTGCAAAACAGCAACTCCGTGTAAAAGCATAGAAATGGATGAAAATTACGGTTAGACTAGGTTTCTCCTATGCATATCCCATTCTGGTGGCTTTGCAATTAAATCCTCCAATTCAAGAACAATATCAGACTGTTGCTTCGCTGTTTCTGCTTCACCTTCTGCTTTTTCCTCATAAATCATATCGTCTTCCATGAGTTTCTCCCACAGTATGAAATTCTCCGAGTTCAAATCTGTACTATTCGTCTCAGGGGAAGCTTCAACCTTATGGTCCTGTGTAGGACTCCCAGAATCGTCCGAAGAGAATAATGCTTGAATCTCTGATTGTATTGGTGTCAATTCTTCTTGAACACTTCGATCAATGTCCTTCATTAATCTCCTTTTCTTCAACATCCCGAATTTGTTTAGTGCATTTTTCAGCCTCCTTTTCTTGATGTACTGCAAAAAGAGAGGATCCTTCAACACTTTAACCAGGAAAAGAACTGTAATTCTCTGCTTCTTCTCAGCGTTCTGCAGACGATCTTCAACAGACGACAGATAATTTTCCATGTTCTCTTGCTGCTGCTTTAGTTTCAAGATTTCCGTTTTCAATGTAGTTTGATCCGTTCTCATCCTTTCAAGTTCGTTTTCTAGTCCGTAATTGGACGAGTCTAACCAAGATTGTGCTGCTACTTGTTGATGAATTATTTGGGAATGCTGTTTTCTTCTCTTAATGTTCTTCAGCAAATGTTTCTCCCCTCGCTGAAATCCTTCGTTCGCGAATTCCCATCTATCAGAATCGATCTTCCTGAAACACTGCACCATTGGATACCAAAATCCCAATTATTTTCATATTTCCAAAATTTTATAGGTGGCTAAAATCATCTTGAAATTATAAAATAGGCAAGACCAACTCCAAAAATACTCGAAAAGCAATAACCAGAATTTAAAAAAATTAAAAAAAAAATAAAAATAAAACGTGAATTTTGTGGGTTAGTAATAAAAGAAAGAGGAATTTCATTAAAAAGAACCCCCCACAAAAATCAGCATAAAAAGCTAACTGAGAACACCAAAAAAATAAAAATAAATAAATAAATAAATATGCTGCTTACGTAAGTATTGAGTTGGCGAACGAAGCTGGAGAAATTATTGTGCTTGAAGTGTTTAGGGAGCAAATCCATAGAGAATTTGTGAGGATCCCAAACGATAAAACTATTCCTTGTTGAACTCCAAGATAATACAGAGTCCGTGTTCGGATCATCCACCATTTCGTATGTCTTCTTCAAGAATGGCGGCGGCGCCACTTCCCTCAGCCCCTCTATCGGCTTTGGCGGTTCTACGCAAAACCCAACACCTCCACCGTCAAAATTCTCTTCTTCATCAATAAGTAATACGGGTTCTTCTTTCACAATAACAAAATCTTCATCTTTCTGGGCCATGTTTCTCTCTGTATTTTCCGGGATTTTCTGTTCAAGAATCAAACTGTTCTTTTCTTAAAGAAAAAGGGATTGCTATTCAACCTTTTGGTGTGAATATATATGGGTGATGTAGTGAGAGAGTGTAGGGATGAGAGAGAAAACGGTGCGTTGTCCAAATTTAGACCAAGTAAAAAAATGTGTCGACAATCATCACTGTAACTTTTTTGCCATTTGTACCGTTGAGCTTTGCACAAGATCTCATGTCTGCAGTCCCCACGTCATCCATTCCCTTAAGCTTTTATAATTTTCTTTTTGACCCCAAAACTAATTGTCTGTTTTCAGAAGGGTCCTTGTAAAGTTTTATAGATACTGCTCACCCACGAGCGGAGCCAGGAATATACGCTGCGGGTGGCTATGGTGCTCGGATTCGGCTACAGGGGGCATTTTTTTTTTTTTAAAGTTGATGTAATTCTAATATAACCAAAAAAAAAAAAATTGTTATAATATAACATTATCTAAAATTGCACCTAACAAGATTTTACATCATAAAATCGTCTATAATAAATCTACATATAAATTCATAGTAAATTCTCGTTCGATGTAAAGTTTCATACAATCAACAAGAAAATTATTATCCATTTTGTTCCAAAAAGTAACTAAACTAATAAAATCTCATCACTGGTATTCAAGACGATGAATTGAAGGACCACACGAGTGCGACCGTGCGAACTAAAAAAATCGGGTGTGTAGATCAAAAAGTTTGAAAATAGAAACACATGAATTAATGTATAACAAAAATGCTAATTATATCATGATCAAAAAAATATTAATTATACATACTCAACTATGAAATACTATAACAAAAAATTTAATACATGAAAGTAAATTAATATGTATGCACATATACACTAAAAACAAAAAGTCAAAGTATTGGACATATGGGCTTATTTTTCTCAAAATAATAGTGATATTGGGTTGGGACTGATTGTGCAATTGGGCTGCTGTTGGATTGATGGTGGGCTAAGTGATTAAATTTTTAATGGACCATTCCTTCCATTTTCTTGGATATGGGCTTGGGCAATACTGGGCTACAACACAGTAGAGCCCTCCCCATCTCCGCCCCTGGTTGCACCGCTTGCTTTTTGTGTATTAAAATTCCACTTTAGGGACCTTATTTATGATATTTCTCGACAAATACATGTTTGATACCTAGTATAGAACTTCGATGAAACAACAAAATAAAAAAATTTTAGTTGAAAAATTCGAAGTGCATATGATAATGATTGTGGCAAAAAAGTGAAGAGTGTGCTATTTTTTTATTTTTTTTTATTTTTTTGGTACGAAATATGAATCTCAAAATTAATGACCCACCGATTAAATTGTAATTTGTGATTGAATGTGATGACAACATTGTTTGATTGATAGTCGAGTTGTATTTCATACAATTAATTTCAATTTGCTATTTTGGAACTTTGTAACATTTCAACAATCATCACTGTACCATCTCACAACTTATTGTTACAAACTCCTCTTATTTTAATCATCAAACCTTGAGAAATTTAATGAAACCCAACAATATCCTCTTTTATGATGACACTTAAAACTCAAAGATAGCATGGTGAATTATCCTGTTTGATCCATTGTCAAGTTTGGATCCTGCTAGATGAACAAGGCTCCGTCAGCCCTGTTCAAACAGTTTTATCCATCAAGTATACATACATAATTTATATTGAATATTGACTTCAAATCTCAAACTGCTTCTCTTGTTTTCCCGTTGAACTTGCCCCTTCACTATGATTTCTCATATTTCATGGCATAATAAAAAATAACTTAGTTTGATAAAACTTGAATAAAATTTTATTGACTTTTCATCTGATCAAACTTTAATTTTAACCACACATCTCATTAAATCCACAATATTTATCAATTTTCCAACTATATATTTAATCAATTTTTATCAAAAATTTTGTCGAACATTAGAAAGACTACAAGTTAGCACAAAAAATGACGAGCACCAGAAATATTCATTCTTACACAAATAACGGTTATAATGTTTCGACAATTAAATAACTGCCAATAATTTTGCATAGATACGTATATAATAATTTTTCAAACGAGAATAATGAATCTTACACAACACTATCAATTTACATTAATACAAGACACTAACTTGATTGTTCCTTTTTCAGCTTAAATAGTCTTTATAGTCCGAAACGGGTACGTATTTGACGGTGACGTCTCTACGTATTTGACCGCATTCTCCCACCTAAGAAAGAATAATTCTACTCTGCCAGGCTTGGCTTTCACAGGCCTTTTGAGTAATCTGTAAAGTACCTATAAGAGCCCACCCTATACGCCAAACGCGGTTGCTCGAGAAATAGGAAACGAACTAAAAAGTAAACAGCCAAAGAGAAAATTGGAGGATTCTAAAGACCTTATATGTGATGATCCGAGGATAACACGCAAAACTGATCATCACTCCCTTTTCATGCCAATCGAACGTATTTGACCGCATTCTCCCACCTAAGAAAGAATAATTCTACTCTGCCAGGCTTGGCTTTCACAGGCCTTTTGAGTAATCTGTAAAGTACCTATAAGAGCCCACCCTATACGCCAAACGCGGTTGCTCGAGAAATAGGAAACGAACTAAAAAGTAAACAGCCAAAGAGAAAATTGGAGGATTCTAAAGACCTTATATGTGATGATCCGAGGATAACACGCAAAACTGATCATCACTCCCTTTTCATGCCAATCGAAGTTCAAGTGCACAATTGAAGATCCAGTTATCAAATTTAAATGCTACTGCTGTTTACATTTAGGAGGCCTCTCACCTTGCTGATCGTTCCCAGTTTGTGCCCTTCCACTCTTCTACAGAATAGAAGACCAACAAGATTTCTCAACCGCGTCAAGAAAAGGCAAGAGAGGGGCAGAGAGAGAGAGAGAGAGTGCAAAGCATGATGGAACCAAGAATTATATGATGTGAAAAGCATACGTAAAATACACTGTTCACATTACAATCTTTCTATTCTTGGTTTCATTTTCATCCTTATCTTCTTCCTCATCCTTCTTGAAATAGTTTAGATGCAACTCCGTGTCTTCTAGGAAGGAAAATGGTGTCTTTACTTCTTTGTTGATCCTGCAAAAAAGAGGTTGGGACTTCCTACCCCGTTTTACCTCCGGCGTGAGAATTAGTGATTGTTTTTAGATAAAAAGAATTTTAACGAATAGTGAAAATGTAAGAAGAAAGAATTTTTTTTAAAGAAAATCTTCTCCATACCTGGCATGCTTATGGGGTATTTATAGGCGTCTGGCACCACGTAACTGTCGAGCAATTGCCATCCACGTGCCCCATGTGACATGCCCACTCCTCAGACGATTTTCGCCCACCTGTTAAGCGGTTACCTTCCGCCCACTACTTGAATGGTGGGTTTAATGAGTAACCATACTCATCAATTCCAATGATGTTTGGGTAGTTTAGATAGTAATGGTTGGTCCACTCCTGGCAGTAGTAAGACTAGCATAGCAGTAAGTACCCTATCATGGCGAAAGTCACCTAATATATTGGGAATCGTCTTTACCCTATGGGCAAGCAAGCATAGCATCAGTTAAATTAGCATAACAGTAGTCACCATATCGTGATAGACGCTACCTAACATAGCGGGGTCGTCCGACATAATGGGAGCTATCCTCTCTCTATCGGCCTTCATAGTTCATTATTTGAACCGCATAGCATCACTAGCCCTCATAGCGCTTGTTGATTTTTATCGTCAAGAGGTAGAGTTGTTGAATTATATCGCAACTTTTATTTTATATTTCTTTATTTATTATTTTATTATTGCGAATAGATTGAATTTATTGCGTAGTCGAAAATTTTATGATAATCTATAAGTAAATCAGCTCATGGGCCTGAGGTTTTTGCTAACACTGGAATTTTTCTATATAAAGGGAATAGAGTCTCATTTTTTGTCCTTCACATCTTCTTCTCTTTTGTAAACCCTAAGTGTTTTTCTCTCCATCTTCATTCTCAAGGTAATCTCCTTGTTCCACTCTTATTTTTTCATGGAATTCTAGTAGCTCTTCATAATTTCTCGATGTATAAGATTGTTCTGTCATCTTCATCATCTTCTAGTCCAGAACATTCTAAATCATCCTATTGGACATCAAGTGGGCATGAGAGTAGATCTGAGAATGAGAGTGGAAAAGGATCGGACAGTCGGGCTGGTCAGTTGACCGATCTCATTGGTCGACCTGGTCAGGCGACCAACAGACCCAGTTGGTAGACATGGTCGATCAATAGACCAGGTTGACTAGCCCGGTCTGGCGGTTGGCCGTCGATCAATCAGCTAGTCGAGGTCATAGGGTCAATCGGTCCCCTAGTGCTGTTGACGGTCTTCCTAACCTTTTTGACCCTTCTATTTTTGTTCCATGTTCCCATAAAATTTATATTGGTTCTTTCAGGTCTTCAACTTTTAACTTTGAAATTGGTTGGGACCCGATGGGGAGAGTTGCAGTCCTCAATATCCCAAAGGGACTTAGTTCTTAAAACTGTCTAACCAAGTTAGACCAACTGCTCGATAGGTACACGCCGTTGATGATTATATATATAGAGACCTCAGGCCCAAAAAAGAGCTTCCCCAATCAGACCCTCGCGAAATTACCTATAAAGATTATTTTAATCAAGGTTTGAGGTTCCCTCTTCATCCTTTCTTTGTCTCAATTTTCAATGAACTCCATCTCACTCCAAGTCAAATAAATCCAAATGCATGGAAAAAAGCACTATACTTTTTGTACCTTTGTTTTAGTGAAAAGATTGTGCTCTCCATAGAGTTGTTCAAGTATGTGTTCGAGTTGCATAATTTACCCCATACAATGCATTCATCTATTTTACTACCAGGGTTTCTCTTCATATCCCTAAATATATAAATTCCAATAGTGGGTAGAAATCTCGATTATTCTTCGTTCGGCCTCCTGAAGATTGATTTTCGTTAAAATACTTATTGGAGAATTTCCTAAATTTGTCTTTTCAATAGTTTTGTTGAGCCTACTCTTCTTTTGAGTTCTCAAATCCAACAACTGACTTGCATACTACTTCT